AAGTAAATCGGTCCCAGGCCTAGGTCTTACCTACTGTAATATTTCTCATAGGGAAATTCGCTAAAATTGCAATATTTCAGCCATTTCCTGTTTGATCTTCTTGAACTTGGTATTGTTTGATAGGGAATTAAAAATGCTAAATAAAAGTGTTTCCAAACTTTTTTCATAAATCAGTCATATTTTAGAAATTAAAGTTTAAAAAATTAAAATGGCTGATATTTTAGCGAAATTAAATTAATTATTGAAATTTTTAGTTGAATCAAGATGATTTTTTTTCCTAACATGGGTCTCTATAATCTTAACATACATACCAAGTTTCATAAATATCAGTTGAAAAAATTAAAAGGTAAAAATGTTTATGTAAAAAATACAAAATGGCGGATATCTGGTTAACGAAGCAATTTTGGAAAAAATGTTATTCTTGTTTTCTCTTTATTTTGACCCAAAGAATCATTACGTAAATTATGTCCCCACCTTTTTTAAACAATCTGTATAAAAAAGATGTTTCAATACCAATCCATTTTGACCAGTCGACCCGGTCATCATGAGACCAAATTGAAACCAAGAAACTCTAGTCTAAAATGGCATGCTTAAGTAAATATTATTGGTTAAAAACCTTAAGTTTAAAAAACAAATCCTGATGACAGAATCAAATTTGACTTATTCATTTATCCATTTGTCCTTATCTCGACATTTTTCTGATATTTTTGAGTATACAGATGTTTCACGGGCAAATCGTGGTGGTGAGGATTACTGGGCTGAGCAGCTAGGTTTTCAAATAAACCACTCGACTCGCTCTCAACTGACCTCTTTTTACCGGCTCGCCTCCATATCTACACCAAGCGAGTGGCAACTCACACATTGTCTCGCCTGACGTACTCGACCCGCTTTAGGCTGCTTTCCATTAAACCTCAGAAATTACATAACTGAAATGTTTTGTTTCCACCCCTGACAGGACAAAGGTGAAAAGAAAGTGTCGACAACTAACCAGATGTAAAATGTATTTTAAAAGTAATATTGAATTATGTACACAATAGTGATACTACTGTATCTTTAAGTTATTCAATATATTACGAATTACTGTTAATACATTAAATATAAACAAATCACTTAAATAAGACACAGATGTCTACTAGTAATCTAGGTTTCTAGAACAGTTTTATTATAAATTCACATAGATGTACTATTTACAAAATATTTTACAAGCAGGCCTCAGTTTTTCCCAGTTGTACTTTTTTGTTTTATATTCAAAATATAATTTAAAATCTGTTATATATTCGCAGTAAAATAATTTAGAGTGATCGTCACACATTCTTCTAATGTCAAACCTTTAACGACTATACCTAAACAAATTAATGAGATCAAGTTTCATATAGCCCTCTCAATATTGTGGTAACTTTAATAAAATCAAGTGAGTAATTTCTTGCTTTGAAAACCAACCTTTAACCGTACTAAATATTCAACTTTTTACTGGAAATAATTTACTGGTATACAATACAGAAAATAAATTGTTAAGAGTTCTTGGAAAAGATTCCTTTAAATCTTCATATATTTTCCAACCAACTTTTAACGTTAACTAGCTTTTGGAAAAAATCAAATTATAACCATATTTGAGAAATTATTACAAGGTACAAATAAAATAATTTGGAATTTGTCTTACCTGTTTTTGTGGCTTTGTGGAAAGATTTAACTCATAAAAACAACTTATTTGTTTTGGATCTTGACAATTTGAATTGGATAAAAACTACTAATATATTATATTCTTTAATTAATAAAATTATTTATTATTTCCCTTATGATTGGTTGTCTGGCTGCACAGTGGCAAAATATAGAATTGCCAAACTAAAGTTGATTTGATAGATATACTTAGAAGTGAATGCTTTTATTATTCTTTGTTGAGCCTCTAGTTGTTGGATAATATTACAACTGAAAGTTTGAAACAAATAAATTCTGTAATTCCAAGAAGATATTGATATTATGCTCAAATTTTTATTGATGTGTGTTGTCTGTAACCAAAAGTATTTTTACGTGGTTTTAATGCCTATAGAACCGTTTTTATTAGAGAAATTGAAAAATTTACATACAACACAACTGATATTGAGCTAGATCAGACATTGACTTTATATACAGATCAAATGACAATCCATTTAAAACTGTATATTCAGGAAATTAAACTTCAAACAAAATTTTCATCCGTCTTCTGAACACCCAAACCCGCCCCACACTCCAAATACTTTAAAATTTCAACAAGATTATACACATTATATTCAAGCTAAATAATTTCCACTACTTTCGCGAGCTCAATAATATATTTACTTTGGCAAACAGCAGTCAATTTACACATAACTCTAGAGTGACTTGAACCGTGCTGCTAAAGTTCTGTTATGACTGTGTCATAACCGATATAAAAGTGTGTGAATAATAAACAATTGTTAAATTATCTTAAGCTTTTTTATTACTACGATTAAAGAGCATTATGCACAACACCAAGAAAAACCGTCAGCTACAATATCTGCATTGGTTTTGTACATTTTAAAGAACAAACAGAGACAAATCGTTCTAGGCCAATATTTACAAGATGGAGCTCACAAATTTGTTTGCCCGAGTGTTGGGAATGTGATATTTACCAGCCCAGCCCAACACAAGGAATTTAACAATAAACATCTTATAGCTAATAACAACACAATCTTGGATTAATTCTAAAAACATCATGCCAGAAAAAAAATTGGTCACACTTTGGTGGGTTGATGTACACAATCCTCATACTGGCATATTTTGAAAATTAAGATACCTTCTAGATCTGATTCATCTAGCTATACTTACAGTTCACGTTTAGTTTAAAGTACTCAATATTATTGATAAATAATCATTCACGGGTTCAGATAAGTCAAAACATTTTCCGTGTTAGTTAAACCTATTAAAGCTTCAACTCATCAGTAGTTTTTTGTTAAATTTACTGAGTAATGCGCAACACCAAGAAATCCCACAAGCTACAATATCTGCATTGGAAACAAGTTATCTTCTGGTAAGCATGATTAAAAAACTACAACTAATTCAACAATGAACAGAATTATTTATTAAGATCTACTTCATTTATTGTATGCCAGCTACATTTCCTTATGGTCGTCATTTTTGTTTGATCTACTGTTTGGATCAAGTTCGTCATTTTGAGTAAACAATTCCTCCAAGGATTAAAGCAGGTGCAGAACACCCATCCAACCTTGAGAAGAGCAATTTTTACTGGATAACCAAATTGATATTTTTCAACAATGTTGATTACTGATCTTTTCTGTCTTTCCAGATGCAGCATTAGTCAATGATAACTGTGTTAATTTCGCCTATAGTCAAGTTTAACATTAAACTACAAAATACTCGACATAAAAAAATGATTAATGTATTGAGTAGTAGTTGGATGTTGAAAATGTTGTGTTTGACTTTTCCGTTTGAGAAACAAAATCTTGTATCTTAACCTGATAATAAAGCTATGCTTTAAAAATGCTGACTATTGACTAATGTTCGAGCTGATGAGTCTGAAAAGGTTAGTAATCTAGATTGTTATAAATATAATTGATTTTGTACCATTTTGTTTTAGAATATATTTATGAATTTGAGGGCAAAACTATTTAGGGAGGAATATATAAATGAACAATGATAAACCTGGACCTTCGTAACAAAGCTCAAAAGAGCATGTATCTATACTTTTTAAATGTTTACTCTAATGGCTTAGTCAATCCAAACAGTGGACAGCTTCAAAAATCGTAAATGTAATTAACGGAAAGTAAATAAAAATATGTATAGTTACGTATGCAATTAACTATGATAAATGTTTAATAAACAATATTTCTTAATATGAAACCCCTTTTTTATGATAGAATAGTTCATTAATAAAGAACCATATTACTTTTTTTTCGGAGGTAAGTCGTAACTCGTATGTTATGTTTATACATCAAGAGAAGTAAGTTTTTTTATTATTTCACCATGTTTGCTGCTGTGCCATAAAGACAATTTACCAGAAAATTTACACCATTTGGTAGCTGAACCAATAATTAGAATGCATTGCTTGCATTCCAAACTAGAACTCTGTCCTTCCCTGCTAACCATAATGAAGTTGCCAACAGAAAACTAGTTGGCATCTGTGATAATTAAATCAAAAATTTTAATCTGATGCTAACAATAGTGATCAGCAACATTATTACTATCATATTTAGTACTCACAAAACCACCAAAGTGTGAGATTAGAAATAAACCAAGACCTTAAAAAAGTTTGTTAGTGTCTATGAATTAAAAAAATGAAGTTGAAACATCTGTTAGTATGATTAATAAAAAAATAAATTAAACAAATTAACATAAGAACACTAAATCACAGAACTTGCCTTAACTATTTGTTTCTCATTAAAAAAATACAACACTGAATTTATTGCCCATCTTATAAATACTGTTGCTGAATTACACTTACAACTTTACATTTCTTAACCTCAAAACTTATGCATTATGTTATTACAAAAATAATAAAATAAATCTTAAAGCTGAAAAAAAAAGTTTGTACTCTACTTAAAACATATTGTATGAGATTACAATAATTCAGAAAGCACCTACATTCACCGGGCGAAACCAATTTCAATCTTACATTAAAATAAGGTATGAATAATCTTTGATTGTGTAAACATTTAAAACTTGAAACTGGTTTCGTAAAATTATGTTCTCACGAAGGTCAACAGTTGGTGATCTAATTTAGATTTCAAATTTATCACGATTAACATTATTTAAATCAACTCGAATTGTGTGTTTTTTTACAAAAAGACAAGTTAAGCTAAATATTAGCATGTGACCTTTATGAACATAATTGGTGCTAAAAACATTAAAATTTATGTTTTATACATCTCACAATGTAATTATCAAACACCTATATAGCAATCCTATATACAGATACTTGGAAACAAACAACATGTACAATGTTTCAATGTACACTAATTTGCTCTATGCACAATAAAACTCGTCTCTATTTTTCCAATTTTATTTTTTAATAAAAAAATAAAGAACGATATAAATAAAACCATTTTTACACTTTCTGTACATGGGGTTGAAGGAAGGATTACAATTATTATGTGATGATTTATGTATTTACAATAGCCATTTCTGTACACATTTCTCTTGCCTTCTTACTAGCGCTACTGGTTGTACTGCTTGGTATATGTCACTAGACCGATTACATAAGTACATCAATGTCTGCAACGGTCCTGAAAACAACTGGCCTTGTTAGCCACCAACAAGATGGAATCTTAATTATATTCCTGTAAGGTTACAATATTCACAATTATTTTATTACATGGCACTATAGCAAAATTACTTATGAAAATACTATTAAAAGATATATCTAAAAACATGCTTAAGGATTATTAATAAACTGATAAGTAAAAATAAACAAAAATAAATGTTTTCTAAAAACCAAATATGCAGCTAAATCTCACAAATTATAATCATTCACTGTAAAGGTTTATATAAAAAGGTCTTCTGATACACAGAAATTGGTTTTAGTAACCATTAGTAAGACTTTTTTGTTTTCTCATTCTTACCAACTAGAAACAGATAATAGAGAAGTGCCTCAGTGTCAATTGAAAAATCCCAAGATAAAATTACAGGATCAACCTTAACAAAGATGAATGGGAATTTATGAAGATAAGTTTAGACTTTACCTTCGTATGAGGATGAGAAGGTAGAGGACAGGAACTTTTTCTGGGTCGAAGGTAAGGTAAACTTCAGTAACTGGAATATTAAAAAAGTGTGTTAAATATCTGCAACTGGAAAATTTAACAAATAAATACTAGTGTAATAAACATCTTTATGCATGAACACTATGCAAAACAAGTTATAATTATAAAATCAACAATATTTCAACAACAAACAGTTCCAGACCTAATGCTGGTAGTAAGAGGAGCCAGGGTTGTAGAAGGGTGTGGGTGCTGCGGTGGCTGGGGGGTAGCGGTTAGAGTACATTGGGTGCCCCACTCCGGGGAAGTAGAGAGGTCCGTAGTGAGCAGGCGGATCTGCTGGTGGCGGGGGAGGTGGAGGTGGCACCATTTTCTTACCCAACTCCTTCTCCTTCTCTTGTTTATTCAGAGAGTCGATATTTGCTGAAACAAATTAATCAATGCTAATACAGAAATAAAACTTATAATAAAATTGAATTGTAAGAATTTATTTTGTAATAGCAGGCTTACTAGGATAGGAAAGAGTCAATTTTTGTACAAAAAAACACAACAATTTAACAACTAACAACTAAAGACAATTTGTTCCATTGTTACAACTACTTGGTGGAAAATGCTGTCAGTGAAGAAATAACTTATGTTTTTTTTCTCTTCAAGGAAATCCTCTAGGCCAGGATTTTTAATTATAAAATAACGAGGTAAGTTAGCTCTTAATATGGTGTACATAACGTTAAGTTGGCAAGTCGGTAGGGCAGCAGACTAATAAAACAAGGCAGCAATGTCGTGGATTTGCCAAATAATATCAACATGGATGTTCTGATTTCTGAATCATGGTTGCTCTTCTGTTGCTTTGCTTTCCACGCAAAGATCAGAGACAGAGCATTTGTGGACAGGTGAATACAAAAAAAATCATTATGTGTCTTGTGCCAAGGTAGACTCTTTTCAATTCAATTTTGAATTGTAGAAAAAGGAGGATAGCAGCTAGCTTACCTTCAAAGTGTAGGTAGGCCATAGAACATGTAGAAAAACACTGTACATGTTCTATGGCCTACCTACACTTTCAAGGTAAGCTAGCTGCTATCCTCCTTTTCCTACAATTCAAAATCCTGGCCTAGAGCCTATCCTTGAACAAAACTAATCTTTTCAATTCAAGCAAGCCTACTATCCTAACAAAAACATCCAAAACCTAGGCTGATACCCTCTGTTATATAATAAAGTGAATTGTTTGAAAACTAGTATGTCAGAAAATAACTTAGCTACAGACTTTTCAGAATTAATTTTATCACTATTTGCTGGAATTACTGATTTTCCTTTAGTGAACATCATTTAAGAACATTTTGAATTTTAAATGGAACATGTTTGTAAATGCTATCAAATTAAGATTGATTTTTATATATTTTTGTTCTAGTATGAATCACATTTTTGGGTAAAATTAATTTATAATTCTACTGAACAATCAATGGTCAAAATTTTTTTCAAAGGAGGCAAAAGAGTGGCTGTGGTGTGCAGTTGAATTTCACTACTTCTTTTAAAGAAGCCTCCATGAAAGGGCCAAATATTAATTAACTTAACTAAATAATTATAATAATTATTTATTAACTGCTGATCAACTGGTACTCTTTTCTTGGATTAGTTTCCATTTCTTCTAGTACAGTAGTACCTAGTAAGAGATTAACTCGTTTTTTAAATCAGATCTACATGTACAGACTTTTTAATTCTTGAACAATGTTTAAAACAAACTATTGAGTATGTTAAACTTCTTACCTTGCTTTCTGGCCTTCTCTTGCTCCTCGTCATCACTGAGAAACAGTCCAAACTCCCTTTTGAGTCTCTGGGTCAAGTTTTCACGTTGGCGTTCAACCAATGTCGGGGCTGAACTAAAAATATTATTTGTTGGAGCTGCAAATTAAACAAAATCGAAGTTATAACATTTTTTGTTGTTGTAAAGATGGGTTTATGTCAGGGTTTTTAAGAATTTTGTGGTGGATAGACAGGCTTGCCTTACAGATTAAAATACACAAATAAACACATAAAGCCACTTCAGCAACCTACAAGAACAAAGAAAGACTCTACTACTGAAGGAGCTTGTAGCTCTGAAAACTAAACATTATTTGTGCAAAATCATCAAGGTAGAAAATTTTAATGGGGGAAAAAACGTAAACTACGAATAAATTAACACCGGAACTTGCCAGTTTTTTATCCACAATAGCCAACTCCTAGGCCTACCTAGGTGGTGGGCTATGGGCCAGAGAACGTAGGCCTAGTTTTAATCACAGTGCCTCTTTGGAGAGGAGTGTTAGTCAACAGGCGATGTTACAACATCGTTCTAGCCCGGTCTTGGTATTGGCTGCCGCCAACTGCAGACTCTCGTACATTAGTTATGATGATTAGGGATTAGAAAATTATAAAGGCAAAATTAGGCTGTTCAACCAGTACCAGTTGTGTAAATGCCAGTCTACAGCTTGGAGAGGCAAAATATTAAATGAAGTAAGGCCTAATGAACTTTTTGGGTCTTAAAAGAGGAAAAAATGCTTAAAGTCAATGTATATGGGGCATTTATACTTACGTTTCTTAGCAAGGTTGGTATCCAAAGCCGCCTCTAACATGAGAGACTTGGCAATGACAGTTTGAGGCTGAGGCTCCTCTTCATCTTCAGAAGATGATGAGGACATGGAGGAGGTGGCAGAGGTGGGGGGTGAGGAAGCTCCACCTGTCCCTCCACCACTCTTGCCTGTAGTTCCCTGCCCTGTGCCACTTCCCCCGCCTTGCTGTCTCCTCTGACGGTACTCTGATATTGAGAGCTGGAACAAAACAAGGACAAATCAGAATATACAGAACATACAATAGTTATTATTTTTATAACAAAGGCACACAAGATAATCAAATAAATACCCAAAGACAAATTCTGCAGGGTCCTGTTCAGATTATTGCAATTTAATTAAAATCAATATTATACACAAAGTGAAATTATGTAAAAAAAAAAAAAAAAAAAAAACAAGAATAAATTCAAATATTATTTCAACTGTAATGGTAAAAATTTGGATAAAATTTGGAAAATGCATTTATTTCTTACTAAACTAATGACATTCTAAGTACTTGTTAAACTAATTCTATTTAAATAGGGACTAAATGCGATATTTTTAAGGAGTCATTTTAGTGTAAATTCAATGAGGGAAATGGAAATTCGATTAGTCTGCAGATTTGCTGCGGCGGGGTATTAGCATATTCTACAGAAAAAACTTTTTTACCCAAAATTTTAAATTGTAGAAAAAGGAGGATAGCAGCTAGCTTACCTTGAAAGTGTGGGTACATAGGACAAGTAAAAAAACACTGTGCACACAATATTTCATCCCCTAAGGGACTTTGTCAAGTGTAGAGAGAGAGTTTATAAATTACAAAAATCATTTTTGTACACTTTCTCTACACTTGACAAAGTCCCTTACCTTTAGGGGACGAAATATTGTGTGTACAGTGATTTTTCTACTTTTTCTCTGGCCTACCCGCACTATCAAGGTAAGCTAGCTGCTATCCTCCTTTTTCTACAATTTAAAATCCTGGCCTAGAGCCTTTCCGTAAACAAAACTAACTTTGTCACCCGAAAGGAAGGAAGGAAGGGGAATTCAACTCGACACATATTCTACCAGCTCTACAATGCAGTCTATGAATGGTATACAAACCTTGCGTTTTATGGCTGTCGCGGCAGCAGCTGCTGATTGCTCAGCAGTTTTAGTTTTTTTCACCTCGTCTTCACTGCCTGATGACCTGGTTTTTCTCCCTTCCTTTGCTTCGGTTTTACATTTCACCTGTCCTTCCTCTTTGACAGCTTCTTCTTTGACCTTAAAATCATCCTTCACGGTAGAATCTTCTTCTTTCACACAAACATTCGGTTTCAGTTGTTCCCCTTCTGACTCTTCTGTTTCTTCTTCCGCTTCCTTTTTAACTTTAGTTTTAGATTTTAAAGCTGGGGTTGGGGAATCAGGTCCTTCTGATTCCTGACTGCTTCCACACTGCAACATGGATAACCAAATAACTATTTATTCTATAAATCTTCAAGTTCTCAGAAATTCTTGTGTAAATTTTAACTAGGTGGTATATAATTTGTCATCCTATACTAGAAATCTTATTATCAATTAGAGTAAAGCGATTTAACAACATAATTGAATTACATTGTGATTCAAATTTTGTTTCCAATAGCCTATATAAATAATAGAGATGTGTCTATTCTCAATACCACTGATACTTTGACATTGGTATCGGTCAAAAGTTGATGTAAATATAGATACCCTACATGTCTGGGAAGAAAGTGATAGAAAATTACTGTCATGATCATTGATCACGCAAAACGATGATGATGATTTCATAACCGTGGGAGATGATCAGAATTTTGCCACAATCACAGAAAGCGACAATGATGTCCACACAACTGAGGGATCAGAATTTTTCCACGACAGTGGAAGACGTTGATAATGTCTACATGACCGTGGGAGATGTTCAATATTTTAGCGATTGCAGAAGATGTTAAGGTTTCCATGACTGCGAAAGACGATGATGTTACCATGACTGAGGAAGATATTCAGGATTTTATAGTGATTATGGCAGATGACGATGATGTCTTCAGGACCACAGGCAGTCATCACAATATTACCTTGGTCGAACAACTCTGTATCGGTATAGGGAATGGAGAATCAATTTTTCAGGTATCGGTATTGAAAATTAAAAAAAAATTTGGTATTGACACATCACTAATAAATAATAATTGTAATAGCTTTTAGAATAAGAAAAATCTGCTTATCTAGGTGGAATGTATATGAGGTGATGATAACAAGAGGACAAAGGAAATGCATTTGATATATGAAATTGATATATTTAAAGAATACCTGCCGCAGCAAACCTACAGGCTAAGCGAATTTCAATTTGTCTGATTGAATTTTGTCTATAATACTTCCATAAACAAGATATATTTATTCCACATTAAACACTATTTGATTTAATAAGTGATATTCAATATCCAATATCCCTAGAAGAAGAGCATTTTTAATAGGGTAAACAAAGAGAGTGAATAGAAAATGTGAATGAACGAACATTTAAGAAAACATAGATTCAGATGATTAGGTTGAAACAATCAACACTGAAGAAAAATGATTGAGTGGATGCGACTGACAGAACCAACATTGAAGAAAACATAGATTGAGTAACAGCAAAAAGGTTTCATGCAAAGACAGAAACCTACCACCTCATCGTGGCTCTCTTGAGCAGGCTTAACATTATCTTGAGGAGATGAGACTGTGTCCTCTTCATCAGTCATCTGTTGACAATATTGCAACTGTACTAAACCGAACAATTCGCTAGATTTTGAAAATTATAACATTGAGACTGTGGATTTAACTTTAAGTGTAAGTGCCACGTTTAACTGCATACCTTTCACATACCTTTATTCGTCAAAATTTACAAATATATAACTTGCAGTCTCAATGTTTTGTAAAGACTAACAAGTACCAAATTAAAAATATTTTTATTGTTTTGTAAATATATAGCAACAAATAGGGCCCTTGCAAATCTTCCTGGAATAAATTTATTTTCAAGTGTGTGTGTGTTTTGGGTGCAATGTAAATAACAATTTGTTAAGTGAACAGTTTTATTACTTTAAGGAGTTTTTCTGTAATAATTCAGCGGTTGCATAACAACTGGTTAGCCCAAATCAGTCAAACAGTTATAAGGTAAAAAGTGAGTACAGTAATTATTGATTCATGAACATTTAACTACCTGACTAAGAGCCTCGGCCGTGTGGGTAGGCGTGGTAGGGGGAGTGACAGAATGGTCCTCAGAGATGGACTCTCGAGCCATTCGCCTTTTCTTGGGCGGAGCTACATGTTCAGAAGGAGAGTTGGTCACGTCTGGAATACAAAATGCCACATGAAATGTAATTGTAACGGGTCAAATGTGTAGGGGGTAAAATAACGGCTAAACCACGAACTTTAAACAGCTAAACATAAGCTGTTGAGTAAGCCTAGTCGCGACACTAAACTGACGTCGTACCTAACCTCAAATTCCAAGACCGCAGACGACGTTGGTGTCAGTTTGGTTGTTTGGCTGTTCGACTGCGTCTGAGGCCGGGCTACGGGAGAGAAGATGAGCAGCGGGGTCACCTTTCAGCGGTACGCGGCTGTAAGCCTGTTAAAGCTGCCATGCGCCTGCCTTCGCTGCCAGTTTTTTTTTTGTTTCTGTAACTCGTTGACCAATCAGGAATCGTTTTAACTTTCGTCTCCATTCTGAGACGAAGGTGAAGTAAGAAGAAGTTTTGTGAAGTTTGGTTCATTCGTATTCCCGGCTTTTGAAGGATTCGCTAATACGTCTTTTCGTCTTCGATTTGAAGAGTTTTGTTCTTTTTCGTTCGTCGCTTAAAAGTTCGCCTACATTAAGTTCGTGGTGCATCGAGTGTGCTAAAAGTGTTTTACTGTAGTATTGCTTCGTTTGGTAAGTTGTGTAAAACTAAGACAACTTAGGTTTTTCTTTTGTCACTTGTGTTTCGGCAGAACTTTGTCGAAGTTCCTAGGCTAGGCCTGATTCGCAGACCTCGTCATACGCTTTAACCAACTCATTTAATTAAAGTATCGGAGTTGGTGACAGATCATTTCGATTAACGTTTCGTAATCCATATCTGGGACTTTCTTTTTTTAAATTCTTAAACCCCTTTATAAAGTTCCCGAACGCCCCGAAGTTGGCCCCAGCAGACAGGTTTCTGCTTGATAATTATTGCAGAAGTTTGCTTAAGTTGAACACGTGGGGAAGTTGAAGTTTTAGTTTTTCTTTTTTCGTATCAGCTCTTGAAGCAGTTTTGTTTTTAGTTTCAGTTTTTCTCCCGTTTCGTGTCTCACTTGGACAACTTAAGCCAACTCGTTTTCTTGTCTAGTAAATTCAGACTCTGTGGGAGTTAGGCTAGGTTAGGCCTATCTTGTACTAACCTTGTTTGTTTCAGGGTGACGACGTAACTCCGTAGGTAAGCGGAGTGCCTACTTAGCTTACTTGTTGATTTGTAAAGTTAGCTAGTAGTGTGTCATTTAGATATTTGCCCACAGAGTCAAGTCAAAATTATTTATTTCCCCACAAGCCCTAGGCTAGAGTGGTGATTTCGAGTAGGGTGTTTAGTAACCCGCAACGTTCGTCTCGAGCTCTGACAACCAGGGCTATCAAAGTTAGGCTATCCGAATCACTATCGACTCCTGGGAAACTCCCCGCGACCAGACTAGGGCGAATCCTGGGATCTCGTTTTCTTACCGGTGGCGTAATTTACCTCTTGTCGTCCGCCAGGAAAATTACGTCACATAATCAAGAGAAACACGTCTACTACTAATATACAAAAAAAATCCTACAAATGTTCTTGCTTTCATTGGTTTTACTAGGTAGGCCATATTATTGCTCATTCCAGAGGTAGTTAAAAAAAGTGGTAGATGTGACCAAATTAAGAGAACATAGATTAAGAGAATAACTTTTAAAATTACCTATTTCTCTGCATAATGATAATACAAAGAAAATAAGGCAAACTTTAACATCTTTTAGACTTTTCCATACTTTTCCTGGACACAAATTTGCAGGCCCTTTAAAAACTTCTTTAAAAACTAAATTTTTCAAATCTTTGGTCGCAATTCAGTTGTCTGGATGACTAAATTGATTATATCTTAACTTTCTTACCAGGACGACTGTTGGGGGAGTCACACTCCTCACTAATGGCCTGACGCAGCCATCGCTTCTTGGCGTTGTAGCCTTGCTGCTCTGGCTGTGCTGGCGGAGAACTCTCTGGTGACTTGTTGAGCCACGAGGTCAATATTCCCTATAAAAACAACAGGTGTCACAAAACATTACACAACCTATAAAGAAGTCCACATATATTTAAGTTTGTTACATTTTACAGTTGTTTTAAACCAATAAGTATGCAATATAGTTAAAGATTTATAATGCATAATTTTATGGCTGTTTTTTTTTTAGTTGTAGGCTAATTATCTGCAAAAGAAAACTTTAAATATCACTGGTAGCAGTTTTGAAAACAACTTGTACCAAAGATGATCAGCCACAATACATCAGGCATCTAATAAACATTATTTGCATGTTATAGAAGTGATTACCTTCTTAGTCTTGGGGAACTTGAAGCCTGGAGCGAGTGGTCCTACGGCTGCCGCTATCAACATCGCTGTCTTGGACATGGGTGTTGGCGGAGTGTCCCCAGCACCACTGCTGGGACTGGTGTGTGGTGGTGGACTCTCGTAGCTCTGTACAACAATTGATCTTAGAATCTTGTTTTGTAAAGCATGTGGATTAATAGATCTTCATCAAAAATTGAAGCAGTAGCTTACTGCGACTAAACGTTAGTGGTTACGGATAAATGTTATTTAATTTAACCCTTCACAAACTAATTGTTATTCTCTTATTAACCATTTTTTTTATGATCTTAGGTTTTTTACCTAAGTCTACAGCTGTAAATATTGTTTGGGACAATGTTTTGTTTTACCAATTATAGTGATGGTTGAAACCAGTAATTTCGAATCTCGAATCCTAAAAAAACGAATATCGAATCTCGAGTCCCAAAAATAATTACAAATGGCCTTAAGGTGATTAAAAAAGCAAGAATGGAATAGGAACCATTTAAAAAAAAATATTACACTAACCATAAATATTACTCTTTGCAATGAAAAGTTACGTAATGACTTATGACACAAAGCAAAAATAACAGACGACTGATCGGTTACATCTTTTTAACCTATAGTTCACATATAACTAAATCAAACAGTCGGTCGGTATACTTTATTTGGACGGCAAATATTCATTATTTTGGTTATTTATGGTTGTTGTAGGTACACTTGTTAATTTTAAATTTGTTGATCAATAGTATACTCTGTTCATAAAATGGCAATGTCATAGCACTGTATACTACTACCTACGTCAATAACCTCTATGGTTAGTCAATGTCACAGTAAATGCCTTAAATGTCTTAATTCTATTCTAAAATAAAAAATAAACAAATTTGGATTTTAGGATTTGGAGGATTTGACAAATCCCTGACCAGTTATTTATACAGAATAAGTAAATTAAGTACCTCGATGATTTAAAGAATAGATGTTGGTAATATATTGTTTGTTAATTAATATTATCCATGAGGATTTTGAATCAACTTCAAAATGAAATTCAGCTAGCCAAAATACTTTCTGGGAAATAGGTTCTGTTCTTACCAAGTTTTGATTATGATAATATTTTTAAAGTAGTCAAGTGACCAAGAAATATCACAATGGGTTAAGCTTTCCTATACATTAGTTTGCCTATGCCAACCTCTAGTTACAAGTTGAGATATTGCTAGGTGAGACCCACTACTGACCTTCTTGTAGTCTGTGGCAGTACTAGTCGTATTGTTCTGAGTGGGAGTGGTGGGGGGAGTGTGGCGTCGTGCAGGGGGAGGGGTGGGGGTACGGTTCGGCCGCTGTCTCAAAGGTGACTCGTCATCAGAGGACTCAGCAGAGTCAGGAGATCGCTCCCGCGTTGGCTGGCTACGACGTAGCGTCCGGCGTGGCCTTAATACTGGCTGTGGAGTGCTTTGAGATCTGCCGCGCCCTTTACGCTTTGTCACTGTGAATCTGCCAACATCACATTACAGTTAGTTACTTTACGGTTTAAGGAATATTTTTAATATATTTATACTTATATATATTTTATTTTGGAATATTATTTAATATATTTATCAGTCTGGATGAATGACAAGTTGTTGCTATAAAGGATAAATTAATTAGTTATAAAGCTTGGAACAATTTGAATTGGATATGTTTATCCATGCTTACATAAACAAAGAAAGCTAGATGTTTGCAATAACAATTTGGATGCTAATAATAATACTAACTCCTGTCCCTACTTGAATTTTTTAAATACACAAAATGAGCAAAAGTATTCCCTTCTTAAGTAATGAAATTTATATACAAAAAAATAAACTCTTCCTTAAATTGATTCTAGTTCTTATAACAGATAAGAAGTTCAAACTTCTCTGCATTGTAATGGGAAAAGTTCAATATTTGGAATTCATTCAATACTTCTTTTAGACAGTATACTAGTCAAAGCCATACTCACTTCCTCTTGCGTTGACTATTCTTAGAGCTGGAATTGTTGTCCTCCTTGTCACTTGATTTATCCTTTTCCTTATTCTCCTTTTCCTTGGTCTCAGTCAGATGAGGTTTAAAATCTGTTTCAGTAGAATCTTTGCGATGAGTCTGCCTGGCCTGAGCTTCTTGTTTACGGGCTTGGTCTTTCTCCATACGTTCAAAAGCTTTCATTATTGCTTCCATCTTCCTTTCTTCTCTCGTCTAAAACCATCAAAAGTTCTAAATAATTATAAAATAATTCTACTCTACTAAAAATAACATCACCACTTATGTTTTATCTCAGCAAAAGCCGTGATCGCGGCAGTATTCAAAAAATCTCACAGACGTTATTTCATTGCCCTTATGAAAACTTCGACATAGTTTTCCCTGATCGCGGCCAAATCTCGACTATCTCTTGCGTTCATGTAGATATGATCATTGTCTCCCATGGTCACAGAAACAACTTCTTTCGCAATTGCGGTGAGCGTTGACATTCGGACCCCAGTGCCCTCACACTGCCCCGGGGGTGTTACTTACACCATTGATTCTAGGGATGATAGGTATCATCTGAACAAATTATAATCACATATAATCAAGAACAATTATCAAGAAATGTAAAATGTTTTCCATGTAGCCTCCTGACTACCAAAAAACATATTTTAACTTACTTATTTTAATATAAAATCCTAGCATATTTTCACCAGAAGTCTAACCATGTAAAATATAATAAAAGTAAAATGAAGGATAAAAAAAAGAGCAACTTTAGCTTACCATTTTATTCTTCTTATCCGCAGCCTCCTTTTTGCTCAGTTTGGTCCCTTCTTTTACCACTTCCTCCTTCAGGGGCTCTTCCTTCTTCTTGGGAGTGGTGGGAGCGGGAGGTGGTTTGCGAGCTGCGTTGTTGGCAGCACTGCGTGTGGTGGGTGCGGGTGGGGGAGGGGAAGGAGCAGCAGGAGGGGAGGGTGGAGGGGTGGGAGCTTTTACGGGTTTCTCCACTTCAGGCTCAGGTGGAGGGGGAGGTGTCGGCACCCGCGGCGGGGGTGTAGGCACTCGCACCGATGGGACCACCTTGGGTGTTGGCTTGGGAGTCGGAGACACTTTAGAAGCAGCTTGAGCCTTGGAAGGTTGCGGTTTCGGTGTTGGTTTTGGTGAAGCTTTTGGCGGAGATAGGTTTTCAGACACTGTTCGTCTTCTACCACGCCTGCGTTTGTCTGAGATTCTGAAAAAAAATCATGTTTGGTGAGTAGGAGTAAATATATATTTTCATCTTGTAAAATTGTAGTATGTTTTTTTTTATATATTTTATGTTCATTACTTACATTTCAGGCATTTTTTTATTTTTGGAAGTAGACCTAGAGTAATTATGTAACGCTACAGGTAGCAGCAGGAGTGACAATTTCAGTAACGGCCTGTTAAGACTGTACTCTTTGTTTATATTGATAAGATAAGTTTTTGTGTACACTGACCACAAATACTGGACAAAGTGGTCAGTCAATTTCCGAGTTGTTTTATGTTTTGCTAATTGTTTGTTTTTGAGGAAATAAAATTAATTATTCATTCATATATTATCCATAATTAATAAAAAATCAGTAATCGAAACTACTCTTATATCAGTATGATGGGTTACAACTTAGTTTAAAGCAATTAAAATGTGAGTTGTGATTTGGTTTAGTGATTGAAACCAATCTGATATAATATGGCAGTGCATCATTTAAAGAATAGTCTAGGCTACTAACCTTTATCAAAATTAATGCTCTTAAAGTTACAAAGCCCAAGTTATGTTGTATTGCGTTTAGCAACTCTAAATAGTTTTACACATTAAAAAAAAAAAACATTGCACTGGGTAAAAAAGTTAATTCATTTGCTAATATGGGTGTAACCAGACGTACACAGAGTTTTTGTAGCAAAGTTGAAATCAATGGAACCCTACACATATCTATACTATTATAAAAAAGAGGTGGTGTCTGTGTGTATGGGAAAAGTAAACGCGAAAACTACTGGTCGGATCGGGCTGAAATTCGGCATGATGATAGCTCATATTCCCGATTAACATATAGGCATATTTTTATCCCAAAAATCCTTCCGGGCTCCGCCCCAGTGGCTCTGGAGCAAAGGTTCCCATGTTAACCTTATGAGAAATGGAATTAATGAATCTTAACAGCTGTTTCAATTAAACAAGTTGGTTCTGTTCTATGATTTTCAATAGCATTAAAGTTACAAGGATTACCAACAGGGTGCAGCACTAGCATTATTTCTTTTACATTTATGACAACAGCTAATTTGCAACCAAAAGGTGAGTGAGCGTAGCGAACGAACTTCAACCTGGAGGCGAGTGAGCGTAGCGAACGAGCTAACCTGAAGGCAAGTGAGCGTAGCGAACGAGCTAACCTGAAGGAAAGTGAGCGCAGCGAACGAGCTCCAACCTAAAGGTGAGTGAGCGTAGCGAACGAACTTAAAAAAGAACCGAAATTTCTTAAACCATGTCCTCACTCATAACTGCTATAAGCATTTGATACTTATATGCCAACCCCGTACGAAGGACGGGTACTCTGCTAGTTATGTATAAATATTACTTCAGATGTACTGCAAAATTGCTTGGCCTACAAATGATTCCAAGGCTTTAGTTATTTATTGTAGTTGTAGCCTGGTTAATTTTTCATTAATTAGTTCATTTGACCTACTTACTGAGTATTGACATTGTTGTTGTTATTGTTTGGAGAGATCAGCCCGTTAAGGATCTTATGATTGTCAGTGGAGGTGAGAGGCACAGCCGCTGGGCAGGGGTTGTCCAAACAAGATGCACACACAAGCCCCGGACCCATGGCAAGAGTTATTTCTGTGTTTTTGTCCATTGCTTTTGTCGTCACCAGGTATAAATGAAGAACTCCTTTTTCGATACAATGTCTCACCTAAAAAAACACCCATACTTTCAAAATTGTGATCTTAATACTGAAGGCTTACAAAGGTGGATGTTCATAATAAATAATAATAATGCATAATTATAGTGATTAATCAAGAGTTGTTGTCCATTAGAGTCCAGAGGTCAATAGAATGTAAAAAAGTCGAAGAAAACACTGGACAGGGTGTCCACAGAAAATTTGTAATTAATTCCCATGACTTTACATGACTATCCATGACCATTTACCATTGATTTCCATGACTCATAAACATTACTCAAAAATTATAATGTAACATGGAAACATGCACACACAAATAATACTGCCTAGACAAATTTCACAGAAAATACTGAAATATATGTATTAACAGATAACAATGGAGTAATAAATTTAGTAAAAATGTGGTATTCAAAATAAGGTAGGAAAAGAGAAAACCCAGCCTAATCCGTTCCCATAACTGGCCAAGTCTCTCTCAACTTTCTTTTATCCTTCCCATATAGGTACTTTTTATAATTGATTTTTTATTGAGTTTACAGCGTTTAAAAAATTTAGCTCAACTTAGAAAAGACTTAAATTAAGTCAACTCAAAACATTATAACAATATTTGTATTGCAGTTTGAGTTGTAATAATAAAGTTGTAAAATGTTTATATACACTAACAATATCCAACAAATATTAAATTTAATTATAAGATAAGGTAGGGAAAGCTAAAAACACACATATTCTATCTAGGCTAACAGAAAAGGTTTTATGACATTTTTCTTAAGATAAACACTCATTTTCCCAAAAAAATCTGGAACAAATCAAATACGGAATCTTGGGGAAAATAGATCAAGAAGAAGAAAATCAAGTCAAATTTCCACCAATACATAAAAAAAAAAAAAAATACATTAAGTAATCCTTGGTTGCTGTAATAACTATAGTTTCGGTTCTTGGACACTGGACAGAACCACTTTTAGGCTTATGAGTCAAATCAATCACCTTAATTTGAAGATTGTTAGTAGAATACATTAAAAACAAACACACACAAAAACAAAGGAAGACTTAGTGCAAGTATTAAAACCATTTTCTATAAGATAATAATTTGGAGGATATGCTGTACAACTTTTTAGAAAATGAAATAAAACCAATTCCCTAATAAACAATCAGAATCGCAAACACTGACCTCAGCGTTGGGTTTGCAAGAGCGTCGTACAAAGCGAGCGTCGTTGCCATAGGTCCTAGCGTCAACGCAAACCTCTGTGTTATCTCGAGGTAACTTGTAGTGGAAGATGTACGGTCCTGGTGGTGGAACAGGGGGCCGAAGGGGACGGTTGGCTCCCCCACCACACAACATGTACTTGCCCCTAAGCTCCACTAAAGGCTGGTTACTGGATAGTGCCACAGTCGCCACTAGGATCTGGACAAACACAGCAAACTTATTTAGTAGTTTAATGTTTATTACGATGTATAGCCTATTATTTATAGAATAGGTTTAGTATTGGTTAGATTTATTTAAGTTTTCAAGAGATTGGCAGCTTCTTTTAGTTTTGCATTTGCCTATCAAAGTGGTATGAAAGCAAGAGGTGGGTTGATAAAGTAAGGGAATAAATTGTACTAAAGACTCTGAGATGTTTTCCAGTAGATAGGATTGTAGACAAGATCCAGGAATGAAAGGAAGTAAATTAGTTTTATCATCTGAAATTATCTGTCCAGCATGGGGCTTTCTAATGCATGAAAAATAAAAATGTAAATGGTTGATCAATTTCCCTTAAAAGTATGACGTATATTGTTAAAGGACAAAACAAAAAACAAAAATGTAAACTTTGGAAAACAATGAACCAGTTACATTTGTACCTTAACTCCAGAGGGGAGGAGTGAGATGCGGTACTTGGGTGTAGTCAACAGATTCGTGGGCAGCTTCAGGTCAGAATGTACTCCGTTGACCTTAATGGCAGCTACCCTGGCGCGTAGTTCAGGTGAGTAGTGGTTGGTGACGGCTTCCTCATAACTGTCTATCCACTGCCGCAGCTGCTCAACCGGAGTGACAGGGGTCGGTGGCTTCTTCTCAACCGGAGAACTCTTCTCAGCGGCCGGAGGATTGTTATTCACAGAAGGCTGGGAACTCTGCGTAACAGAATTTAAAAGTAGCAAGATTTGTCCGGGGATAGATTTGATTGAAAATGTTTGGTTTGTTACAATATCACATATTATCCGTTCCATTATATTGAACGAGCAATTGGGAACCCAAAAGCCTAGTTATATATTTTATCTCAAATATTAATCAACTTTTCTTGTACCAAATATTCTAAAATACACTCCCAAAAAAGGCAAAGGATGAGACTGTTGTATAGAACTAAGTAGATATAATAATACAAAATCCTTCTTTACAACTTACAAACCTGTATTCAAGTTTTCTTAGTAAATTGTATTTCGTTTAACAGTTTTGTCGAGAAATATTATTACAAAAGATGCAGCCCTACAGTCATGGGGCGTGACACTTCTATTTTAGCAGATGCTTCAATTTATTTTTTATTTTTAGTAAAAATTAGACATACCTTCCTTCTTAATGGTGGTCTCTTTTCTGTTTGCTTCTTACGGAAAACCTGTCTGTTATTCTGGCGATTTGAGTCCTTGTTGGATTCACGTCGCTGCTTGCCACCCGTTGTAATATTCTTGCGCTGAGCCGGTTTACGGTTGTTAGCTGGTGCTCCTGGTTTACGCGGTGGAACATCTATGGAAATTGTCTAAGCTAGAGTTTTATGTTTATTAAAAAGCAGAAAAACATTATACAAGTTTGTATTACATTAAATGTTTGATTAATAAATCAGTTTGAAAGTTCCACCACAAATTATAGATTTAACTAAACACTATTACAGAATTCCAAGGTTCAGAAGAGAAAATTTGAGACATAACATTTGTGATCAAGGAAGTACAATATACTGACTTGTATCAGAACCTGATGAAGTGTCACTGGAAGAGTCGGATGTGTCCAGAAGCTCCTTCTTCTTCCTCATCTGCAGTGCTATGGCTTTCTGCTTGTCTATACGGCGAGGTTGGCATTTCTCACACATGTATTCTTCTGGGATATTGGCTCTGTCAATCCCCATACAATCCACATGCTGCCAAACCCTGAGAGAAACATGGACTTTTATACAAGACAAACAGGTGCTAGTTAGATTCACAGTTAATTTAACAAAAATTAAGTGTTATCAGAGAACAGACCATGATAGCCTACTGCAGACTACAGTTAGCACGTTGAGTGCGGTAGCCCAATGGAATAAGTAGATTTGAATAAGTACTGATCATTTAAATTTTACCAAACTTTCTGTAAGGATTACTACACCAACCAGTCTTTATGTACTTTCATATAGAATGGAATTTTGGAGTTTGGATTGTTTTTCAAGTGGCCTACAGAAGTAATTAATTACAGAATTTACAAAAATTTCACAGAGCCAATTTAGGTTATAAACCCTTCTAAGCACTTTTAATATAAATACCACGTTAAAGGTAAATGAAGATATTACAAAAAGTATTTTTTTTTAACTTTCTAGAAGTGTGCCATTTTGAAAGTTTTGGTCAAGCCGAACTCGAGGTTATATAGTGATCATCTACCACTGTCATAGAGACAACATCATCGTTTTTCGCGATAACTGAAAAAACCTGAATATATCCCTCAGTAATGGAAACATCACCTCTGTCTTCTGTGGTCGTCACAAAATCCTGATATTGTTCAGCGGTAACGGAAACATTATAATCGTCGCCTGGGATCACAGAAAAGTTCATCAATTATTCTTCTAACAAATCACGTGGCCGTTTGGACATCATCAATGTCTCCAGCGGTCATGGAAACGTCATCGCCGTCCCCGCGGTCACAAAAACACCATCGTTGCCATGCGCGATCGCGGCAAAATCACTAAAAATCACGCGGCCATTTGGAGTTTGTACATCATCATCGTCTCCCATGGTCATGGAGACGGCATCGTCGTCATGCACAATCGCGGCAAAATCAAAAAAGTTTGGACATCATTGGCCAGGGACACACTTACCGGCAAAACTGCCGGAACCGTCAGATGTTGAAATTCAGAACACACTGTCCCGGTGGAAACTATTTTGACGGAGCCGGCGACAATAAATAGAGTGCAATGAACTTTGAATCAGTCAGTCGTGTCTTAGAAATAGTGCTGTCAATACCTAAAAAGTTGGCCATGCTGTGTTTGCTCCACCACAGAAGAAAGAGTAATCACCGCCGAAGTATTTGGTTCATCCGATTCTAGAGAACAGACAGCTACATGGAACATTTTATACTCTATTTCTACAGTTAAGGAATGAGCATAACGGCCGTTTGGAGATCATCATTGTTTCCCGCGGTCACGGAAATGTCAATGTCGTCTCCCGTGGTCACGGAAACTTTACTGTCGTCTCCCGCGGTCGGAAACGTCATCGTTGTCTTCCGCGGTCGGAAACGTCATCGTCGTCTTCTGCGGTCGGAAACGTCATCGTCGTCTTCCGCGGTCGGAAACGTCATCGTCGTCTTCCGCGGTCGGAAACGTCATCGTTGTCTTCCGCGGTCGGAAACGTCATCTTCGTCTTCCGCAGTCGGAAACGTCATCGTCGTCTCCCAGGATTCCGGAAACGGCATCGTCGTCTCCCGTGGTCACAGTAACCTCATTTACATGCATGATCGCGGAAAAATTAAAAATTCCCGGTAAAATACAAAATGCACACATAATTCCCGGTTTTTCAGGTGGGTGGACACCCTGATTGAGAAAGTACACATTTGTATAAGAAAAAAAACCTTGTATTTTAACATTTGTATTGATAGTACAAAAGAAAATAAGAGACACATGACAGTAATTATCATTAAACTTTAAAAAGTGAACACCCTTTAGTGTCACCAAAAGTTTTGAAGAATTTAAAGTGTAAGCAAATTCATGGGTTCATTAAATACAAAGTAATCAGTTTATTTTATACAGTATTAATACATTTCAAAACATGATTAAAATAAAAATTGAAATTACTTACGAACACTTGTCGCAGCATATCATATAGCCATCATCATGCTGGAAATCACTGAAAACATCAAAAACACAAGTTAGTATTTTTAAACATATTGGTAGGGATGGTAAATACACATACAGTAAAACTCCAATTATCCAAACTCCAATTAACCGAATCACCGATTATCCGAATCGCTTACTTCAAAAATTTTAAAAACGTAAAAAGCTACAATAATAAGTTTTACAAAATATCAAAGAATTGTTATTAAACACATTTAGCCAGTGTGTAATTTTGGACTTTGATGGAACACTATTAACTTCCCTATTGATTTTGATAATCAGAGTTCTACTGTAATTGAAGAATATTCAACTGGAAGAATATTCCATATTAATATCTCGTGGATGCCCAAATAAGAGTTCAAAGATAAAATGACCAAAAAAAAAAAACATTGTTGAGAGCCCATGAAGAAGACCCATTGAACCGGAAGAAGTAAAGCCAGTTGGTCAGAGGTGTGACGGATAGTCACCAACATTATTTTATATATCTTGGGATTATATTTCAAAAGTGAAAGACCTGGTAAATGGATTTCACAATTATTCATATACCAGTGTCAGAACATTGGCATTTAGTAGACAGAATTATTGATCACATGTACAAATCAATCAAACCATTGAACCCGTAGACTCAGCAATTGTAACTTGGAGAGATTGAGGTTTTAGTTGAACGAAAGGAACTCACTTGGCCCCAGATTGTCTCAGGGGACACTTCCCCTGTCGCCGGAGTTCAGGTAAGGCGACTTTTTTTATTAATATTCATAATTTAAAATTTTGGATTGTCCAGCTTAGCTAACATTTTCAAGTCGTTGATTGATTGGTATCCTAATCATTTTTTATCATAAATAATTTCATTTATCATTTCTATTAAATAAAAATAGTTACTATTAAATTCCTGTTTTGTTATTAGAACGTGTAAACAAGAATTTGTTTTACCTCTCACCAAAGTATTTTTATTATTTAACACGATCCCAGTTACGCCCCCGGTCACCCAAAATTAACCGTGACAGTGGTCATGTATTGGGTAGGTCTGGTTATTTGGTTTTTCATTTTACTTACCAAATACATCTAGTGACACTGTCGTCTTCGTTGTCTTCGCCCTCAGGGGCAGTTTCAGTTTCCTCGCCTTGGGGATCGACCTCCCTTTCTCCATCTGTACTCTCCACATCACTCTCCTCGGCTGGAGTGACTCCTCGCACCGGACCACGTGTGCCGATGCCAAACACGTTGGACATGGTAGCTGAAACACATGGCAGCAATTCTTAGATAAAATATTCATGATTAAACTAGAATTATAGGGCTAGAGCTAACATGATTCAATCAGTTCAATGTAAGGACACTTGTGAAACATTTTCCCTCACTTCATTTGTCACAGCACAAACAGCAATCAAGCGATGCAGTATAACGGATTAGTAATCACCAAAGTTCTCTCTCTCCCTATCTAGTCAATCTATAGTATTAGCAAAAAAGAAATGCCGATGGAGGCCAGGTAGATTCACTCACACACACGCAGACCGCACCACACAGGCACCTAGGGGATTAGGACCGGCCGTGTTTCTGCCCCGTTAAATATTCTATTGTACTTAACCAATCAAAATAAACATATTTTATTTAGACTTCTTCATCATTTTTGAACTCTTTACTTTATAAAAAGAATAATCATACCAAACAACATACTGTTAACCGTATATTTACCATTCATGTATTAATAATAATCAGTTCATTACAACACTTTAAGTCGGCCGATTAACATGGGACAAACACAAAATTATTTGTATTATGATAACTAGCAATCCAGTTCAAGTATTTTCCCAAATAATTATTATTTATTACATTTCCGCTTTTAAGTGGAAGATTTGATGAGGCGTGACTAATGGGATTTGCCAGGCCACCCTAGCTATTCATTGGCCAAGCAACTTACCTTGCCCTTTGCGCCCGTGAGTGTGGGGGTGCAAGTGTGTGATGGGACTTGGCCTGGCCTACATCGGCATTCCGAATTTGCTAATACTATAAGAGTACATAAAGCAACTTACTGCTGCCGAAGGTGGTGGAAGCAGGTGGTATGGTAGGTTGCACATTCTTGGGTTGGCGGTTGGCTGCAAAGGTGTTGGCTGCGTAGTGAGTATTGTTGGGAGGCTGTTGGCTGATGGGAGGCTGGCTGCGTGTCAAGCCGTTGGTTGTTGCCACTCCATTGACCAATGGCTTTGGCGGAGAGTTGGGAGTGGGGGGTGGAGGTGCTCCATAGTTGTGATCTTGCAGGACGTACTATAGGCAAAACATAAATTTATATAGTTTTCCAATAAGCGATAACATAGGAGATAGAATTTACAGTTGAGAGTTAAATAATTGTACTCTTCACCAGCAGGTAAGTCCCATGCAGAAACGTTGTGTCAATCGCTATCACAATATTTTTATCATAACAATAGTTTTTAAACCTCAACAATAAAAACTAGCATTGCAAATTTAGGTGATTTACGTTAGGATTTATGACTGGCCAACTGGGGGCAAATTTAGGTGATTTACGTTCAAGCAATACAAGGAACATATTAACCAGTGATACCAGATCCTGAATATACATCTTAACTACAGCAATGATAGTTTATTAAACAAACTAAACCCCAAACAATTCTATGTTAAGTATTTCTTATAACCAGAGAATGAGAGATCATTAAATATACTCTTATACAAATCAATAAGTTTAAAACAAAAAAAGACTTTACCTGATAATTTAACGGAAGATGTTTATGGTATTTTGGCCTCTTCTCCACAACACCTTCCAGAAGATCATCATCCAAAGTAGAATCCTTGACAGGGCTGGCAAGTACTCGGCCAGCGATGGTGGGTGAGGGGGCAGACTGAGACACAGGGGGCGTCGCATGGTTGTTGTTGATTGGACGAGCCAGCGCTGCAATGTTGCGAGCAGGTAAAGCAGTATGCTGCAGGGACCGGTTCACCTGCTGCGGCTGCCGATTGATCTGCATGGGTAGTCGATGCTTGGCCACGCTCGGAGGCTGCTGGCCCGCAGAAGCTACCTGGGCACGCAAGTTGACGGAGCGATTGCTGGTGTTGCTGGAGCTCACTACAGCTGTGGTCAGTGTTGGAGTGTACCTAGACATAAGAGTAACATTAAACATCAAGTAACAGACAAAAATATCATCAATTTGTTTTGAATCAACTCTTGTCTAGGCAACATCCACTCAAGAGTACAAGCAGTTTTTAGGCAACAAACTCACAAACAACAGAACAAACTCGCACAGCCCATAACACAAAGTGTTCTGTACAGCATATTGGACCTTACATTTTGTGCGCAAAATATGAGGTCATGAAAAAAGTGAAGGTTATGATAATGATTTATTTTACTTTACCAAGCATTGAGGAATAGGACCATTCAAAATAGTGTTTACAATTCAATGAAATTGAAATGATATCAGTTAAAAAAGTATACAGGCCTACCCTAAAAAAAGAACCTACCCTTAAAAAACCAAACACAATAACACTTTTTCTGACCCTTAGAATGAAATTTATGATTGAAAATGGAAACAAAAACGAATGTTCTTCACGACAAAACCAGTAGCAAATATTCTCAGAGCAAATATCCACTTTCCAAAAGAAAATCCCTTCTCGTTGCGGCATGACACCATGCTTACCCGACATTGGTGGTGCCGAGCTGAACTATGAGGCTCATGCCTTCATCTGATTGCTGGTTGCTTTTGACAGGGATAGAGAGCGGATTTGCGGGGGCATTGCCACCACAGGGGATGATGGTCGCCGAAGTCGCAACAAGGCGGGGGACCATGCGGGTTTGGTGTGGGGGGGCACCATCTGATCCCCCCCCACCCCCCGCTAACTTGATCACTGATGGGACCGACGTGATGACGTCTACACTGCAGACTTAGGTCACCGGCTATGGGCTCAGCCAGTTCACTCTGAAACACCAACCCAGGGTGTAACACATGGAACCTGAAGAAGTGGGTGAGGAGGGATGGATGCAGTGAACACTGAACAGGAGGTACCAGAGGTTTGTTATCAGTAAATGAAACCCCTAGTCAATCAATATTACAGTACCACACTTGAATGTAAGACAAGAGCAGATGAATTGAGAAAATGGGTGTAAGAAAACACAATATTTTGAGTGGGAAATAAGTCAGATCACATAAAAACAAATCAATTTATGTAAAAAAGAGAAAATAAATTGTAAGGTGTTGGGAATCAGGATTTGATCAGGAGTAAATGTCGGGAACAAACATCTTTTTAATATTGAAAAAGTATGATAGGTCTAGTTGGATAGGTGCAGTTAGACCAAGATATAAACAATTACATTTTTAGCAAACAAAAGTCACAAGTCATGATGAACTATAAAAAAAAATAAACCAAAAAAATTTTAGGGTTACAGCAGACAATGGAGGAAGCCGCATTAGCAACATTTAATGTCAAGTTCATTCCAGGTCAGGCTCAAGGGGAAATGGTTTCATATATTGTAATATTCCACAAAAAACATTGCCAACATTTTACATTAGGCCTACCACTTTGCTTAAATTTTTCCTAAGTAAAAAGTCTACCTAAATGTAACATAATTAAATATATAGTTGCATTTAAAATGTAAGCTGAATGAGGTTTCCACTATAAACTAACTTGTGGGCCCTTTAGAAAGGCAGCACAATTACAGTTGGTAAAGTTTTCAAAACCATCTCTTACAAATATCACATGGATATTCACTCAAGGAAAATTCCCTTCAGGTCAATTTCAGAATGCCCAGAACTATTTGTCAGGCATAGCAGTGAACGTCCAAAATTGGCCAAGCTGTCAGAGAAATCATAGAGGAAGAGGTCAAGAGGGAGGAAGGAACAGGAGAGATGGAGGAACCAGTTTGTAGCGATGGCCAGACTACTTAGCCTACTTACAGCCAACAACACTGCACAGTGCATGCTGCACTGACACTAACCAGGAACTGACTATTAATCTCACAATCTTCAAAGTAAATCACACATTCAAATATTATGCTAGACTTTTGGAACAACTTATTAGGCTATATCACACCACACCACACTTCGCACTTGTACTGTATATAGAGAAAAATAATAAAAATATTGTGTAAAAATATTTTACAGCAGTATACTATGCCAGCAGCCTTATTCAAATAATCTTAAACTGGTGAATGATTATAATTTCTCATTTATTTTATGGTAGTGTACATATCCATGGCCTAAGATTTTACGCAGATCAGTAATGATGTGCCATAAGGTTAGATCAAATTTATATCATATGCACAAATAACTTAAATGTTTAATGTTATAGTTTTGTTTTAGCATTACTAAAACTTGTTAGCTTTCTCCCAGTTAATTTTATTATATAGTCTATTTCTATGCAAGTAAAAGTTTGTTAGCACACATTTTTTGCATCCCTCAAAGTTTCCAGAACTGAAATCCCTTGTTGACACACCTTTTTTTACTAGGCTATATAAGCCTGCATTCCCTGTCTTGCATCCCTCAAAGTTTACACAACTGAAATCCCTTGTTGACACACCTGTATATATAGATACAACAGTTGATTGCTCTCTAGAACCAATCATGATTTTCTTCAGCTTTTAAATAAGCTATTTTTAATATCAAAGAGGTTTTATTCTATTTAGATATTTTATATTATTTTTTATATATTTGTTTATAATAACAACCATTCCTTCTTAAATAATTATAAATCTTAGTAAAACAACAATTTTGCAAGTTCATTTTCAGTTACTCCCTCAGTTAATCCAGGCTTTTATTTACCAATGAGATATAAATTATAAATTTATAAATTAAAATATAAATTTTGTTGTCCTCAAGAATTAAAAACTTAGAAAAAATATCCAAAAGATTCACTGATTGTTGCATTTTTTGTGGTAAACCCCCAAAAATACTCCTGAAAATAAATTGTATATTATTGGTGCTTAGTTAAGTGACGAACGTTGCAGGATGATTTAAAAAAATATCAAACCAAACGTGTATTTGTCAACTACCGACTATTTTTTTAAATTTGTGTAGCCTAGTTTACTAACTTAAGAAATCACAGGAAACACGCTTTTTATTGAGAGGATATGAACCATGTCATTGAAAAATATATTTAATGGTTCGTAAATGTTTATAAATGCAAATGCATTTAATAAATCCCCACTCCCCATTTGTGAGTCTTTTATTTTAATACGTAACGTGGTTTAACCAACGTTTATCAACCCCAACGTGTTACGTGTACGTCGGGACAGTCAATACCCACTACGACTGCGGGTGTTTCTGGTTCCAATTCAACGATCGGCAGCATATTATTTTGAACGATGCGCGAGCCGCTACCAAACAATGACATGACACCTCTGTGTGTTCGGTGCAAGCGGTGGAGTGGAGGGAACGGGAAGTGAAGTGGGACGAGGGGCCTCATTGGGTTCCCGCGCCGCCGCGTCGCGTCCCCGCGCATTGATTACGGCCAACTCTAAACTCTACAGCTAGGTACAGCTAAAGCCTAGCTAGGCGGTAAACAAAGACTTTCGCAACAGAGCGCGCTAGCGCTCGAGGTGGTGAAATGTGAAACCTCTGTTTGTTGTGATCGAAATAACCGCCAACGCCAAATATTACAGTTTACTGAAACTCCAATACTAATCACCTAACAGGATAACAAGAGGGTATATTTATGTCCAGAATTATATAAGAAGAAAGAAGCTCCGTGTTATTTAAGTGAGTCCGCCAAGTCGCAACAAGAGAGCAGGAGAGAGCGTCAAACAGGGAAGGGAAGGGATGGTAGGAAGCGGTGAGAAAATGGCGTCTGGCGACAACAGCGAACAGCGCGCGGGGAACCTTGGTACTGATAACTGTTCTCGAAGTGGGTACGGACAAAGTGCGGGTTGGATTTGGGCTCGGAGAGTGTTAACTTGGCAATAAACGTGCGCGTTCCCGTAGGCGAGTGTTTCCCGGTTCTCGTGTTTCAGATATTTCAATAAAGGGATCCATATAAATATTTGAACAGCTTTCGGGGAAATATCCGGACGAATGCGCAAATATAGAGATATTGTTCATATCAAGGATTTTATGTTGTGGACCGCAAATATCTGGTAAACTGCAATTCCATTTCCCAGTCGCATTTGAAACAAAACTGAGGATAAATATTATTCATGTTATTACTTTTTATTAATCTAACGGGCAGCGAAAATTATTAGGTTTGTGGTACAAAGTAAAATTGTTCAATTTACATACACCATAAAATGTTGTATTATTACGTGTCAAAACGTCACGAAGAGATGCAGGGCAATGGTCTTCATGTCGATGCATCTGACATAAAGATCTCGTTATATCGGTCACCGACACAAGATTGAATCTGGGGGACTGACTGAAATAATACTACTGAAAACACGCAAACGTCATTTAGGGACTATACTGCGTCGATATTAGAGCAATTTGAAAAGAATTAAATTATTTCGTATGTCAATGGTAACTACCGCGTTCGCATACAATTCGTAATACTGTAAATATGTTCACCAAAGTATCTAAATCGGGAAAAATAAAAACCATTTAAATTTCAAAGAGAGCTAAATCTTTTTTGCTATGAATAGTTTTTGCTCTTAACAGATAGAGCACGCAAATAACCGTATGAATAAAACGAACGTGCAGCACGGCACGGTTAAAAATAATAACACGGGAAAAGGAATGATCACCCGATGTAAATAAAAACAGTGGCTGGCCCGGCGACTGGCGATTGGCGAACCGCCCGCATCGGGAATGTCGAAACAGAGCGGCAGGCGTACCAACGTCCAACAGCAACCGACACAACAACTCGCAGCGCTGCCAACATTGCGGCGGGAATCTCGCAGTCAGTCTTGTCAAGGCCACTTTCCGACAGCAAATTTGTTGCTTGCAGTTTCGTTCACAAGCGTAGACCACGCAAATAACAACAATATTTCTCTACGTATATTTTATTATTATCGAATAGTGGTATAAAAAGAGTTGTTTTGGGTGACAAATGCCATAAATTTATCAAATACCACTATCTGACTAACAAAACAACAGTGAAGGGGCCCTTTCGCCCTCTCCCGTAAAAAAATCATCGCCACGAGTTTAAATTAAACCGCGTTTAAAACTAGTGAAACGACAAAGTGTTATCAATGAATGGTCGGGCTATTTGTCTTATCAGCTGAGCGGCCATCCTGTCCAATTAGAGCCAACTGCAACTACCACTAAGTTCTGAGCATAAAAACACAAATTTCCAATGTGTAAAACCTTTGACTATGGTAAAACCAAAGGTAAACTATTGGATACGTAAAACGCTGAGAAGAAAAACAGACATGCAAATTAAACTCATTTTACACCTATTACTATGTAAGTTATAAAAAAATTTTGTCAGAAAAAAACCGAAATATTTATAAAATGTTTCCATTGAATTTATTGACTTGGCCCAATAAAAAACAATTTTAAATTTGTTCTTTTGACTGTTTACCTCAACAATTTGGTTACACTACAATGTTCGTTTTAACCCAAATTCAATCCCTTTGTTGGCGCCATTTTCGACGGGCCGAGTTGCCATGACAACTCCGCCACCCCCGTGACGTCACAGTATCGACCACCGACAGGGTGGTTTGTGGGAGGAGAGGGGAAGTGCCGAGGTCAATATCACTTCAAGATGGACACCGCGCAATCGATCTCGAATACCTCTCACTTACGTGACGCTTTTTGCTACTTTTTTCTAACCTCGACTTATCAATCCAATGGTGAGATCAAAAGAAAGTTTCAGTAACATGGGACAATAAACAATAGTTTAAACTCGTGGATTGTAGTTGTTGATTGTTCGAAAATTGTTATTCTTGAATCAAATGAAACAATTATAAAGGCTTATGGAAATTACCTATATATATATAAAAAACTTAGGTACAATACTCCTAGTGTGTTTATGCATTTTCACCTAGACAGTT